TTGCCTACCACTCAGGATTTACTACCAGCTGTAATCAAATGCATAATCAATGACTTTATCTCTCTTGAAAGCTCTTCTGTATGCATATCCATTATTCCTACAGCAAACAGATGTTTAAATACATTACAGCAAAATAGGATCAAGCAACTTCTTGTGTTGAACATGCGTTGTACATTAGAGTTAACTTGAACTCTAGGCTTAATATTAAAGGTACCAAATCCTCGGTTTTTATAGCATTTTATTTTTCTTGCATGAAGTGTGGACCCGTATACAGGCTCTTAGGCTTCAAGGAATTAATGTTACATTTTTACAAAAACACTGAATGATACTATCCAAATACTAATGTTCAGGCATTCATTTCATTTGTAATATATTGGCCTTGTGCAGTTAACTGAGATGGAAAGGGTGGCTTACTGAAAATCTACATAAAATTTTGCCTACAATGCTCCTCAAACCACTCTTAACAATTTCATTTAGCAAAATTTTGAAAAATTTCCCATTTAAGTGAGACTACCCCTACTGTAGTTATAATTCACTCAAACAAAATATTAATATTCAAATAAATGTAAGCAAAAATTAGTTATAATCTATTACAATTACTTTGAAATACTTAGTTTATCATCTTACTGCAACATAGTCTAAAGTTCAAGGTTTGACTTAGTCTACTGGGCCCCTAATCTAACCTGTTAGCTTTCCTTGAATGTAAGTGTACTTGAGCTAAATTAATTATTTTTAGATTTTAAAGTTATAAATACTGTCTGAAATATATCATGTTGCAGTTTGAGAAGGATGGGCTTGAAAATGGCTACAATGGATGAGATGCATTACAAATAAGTAGGGTTGTAACTGAACACAAGTTTTCAGAATATGTATTTAGAATACAGAAATCTGTATTTAGTTCAAGTTACATTTTATAAAGTCAGAATTCAGAATAGAATTGCATTTTAAATGATTAGGAGAATAGTTTTAAAAATACTGACCCACTAAATGCAAAAATATATACCATATTTTAAAAGAAACGCTAATTATACTTGTTTATTTTGAAATCAGCACACAGCATTAAAAGAAGTACTCTAAAGAAGAACTTAAAAAAGCTTCTTTACAAACACTGAAGTTCCTACTAAAGCCTGAGTAGAATGATACATAACTTTGATGACCTGTTATTAATCTTAGCATTACTGAACTCAGGTAAAGCCTGAGTAAACTGATAAATCAGTGTGATGATCAGTTATTAATCTCAGTGTTACTGAGCTGTGCAAAAACCTGAACAGACTGAAAAATCAATGTGATGATCATTTATTAATTTCAGTGTTGCTGAGCTCTGCTAAAGCCTGAGTAGACTGATAAATCAATGTAATTAATGAAAAGTTATAAATCAAAGTTATTAATCTCAGCATTACTAAACTCTTTTGTGGAATGATGGAACTGAACAGTGTCATCATTGTGCAAGTGCTTTGTGGCAAGTTACACACGTCGCTAACTGAAAATCACATAGCTACCCGCACTGTAGAAAAAATTTGCAAGATTTTGTTGTTGCAGTATGTCAAATTGTTTGCTTTGTGCATGAGAAGGCAGTGGGATTATGGGAGCAGGAGTGGAATTATGGGAGCAGCAGTGGGATAATGGGAGCAGCAGAGGGATTATGGGAGCAGCAGTGGGATAATGGGAGCAGCAGAGGGATTATGTGAGCAAGCAGTGGACAGAAGCAGGCAATGAGGGCCAAAATGATGTTGAGAATTTTGCAACTTCATTAAAATTTGTGAATTTTTCATTAAACATATTAACAGAAGAATTACATGAAGAAACCCACCAAACAGTACCAGCAAAGAACAGTGTGAATTAAATAAAAATTACAACAGTAGAGTTTTCCCACTCTGCTTGTGAATATGTATCCTAAATGCTTTTGTTACTTTTTATGTATTGTAATATATTTAGGACAGTGTATACAGCGTTCAGCTATCACTACTTTTTCAAAGTATACTGCCCAACTGTGAATAAGTGTTGTCTATATAGTGTTGATGGAAGCTAACTGGTGAAGTTTGTTGTTAAGAAATTGGGTCTTTCTGTGGGTCATGGGTGTACAATTGTGTCAGTATCTTTTTTATTTAAGGGCCCGATTGCTGCAGGCCACACTGCACTGTGGGCCCCAATGCAACATCATTAGTTTAGAGCAGGTTATCATTACCAAGCAACCATGGACCACTAAAGGAAGACATCCATCACTGTATATCGCAGTCATTTCATGAACCTTTTAATTTTGTTGTGATAAATCATGAACATATCATAATATAGCAATGTTTAATGCACATTATAAGCAGATTTTTCTTACTAAATGACCACCACAATGATAAAAATATTAACTTCTGCTAGGACCTCATGTGATTTTCTGTGTTAGCGTCAAGCTAACATTTCGTAGCTCTACAGAAACACAGACATTTGAAGCTTGTAAGACATTCAGGTAACATCTTTCTCTGTAAATTGCAGATTTACAGTGAATACTTCAGGAAATACTTCAATGCAAAGCCCGCATTGAGGAACCTGCTAGCAGCTAGCTGCCAAGTTAAGCAGCCTGGTTAGGAAATAAGTAGGGTATGTTTTTTGCGGTTTCAAGCCATTTACAAGTTGAATACTCAAAAAGTACTCTTACAGAGAAAACATATTCACACCACTGTAACAGGAGTAGTTGTCACGCATAACTTTCACTTCTGTAAGTGGAAATATTGGAAAAAAATCTCTTTATAATTTGTATTTGATTTAAAACTTTTGCTCTTTACTATTTGAAAACATCTGCTCTCTAGATCCCTTATTTATCTCACACATGCATGCATGTTAATCACTGAATACATAATGACACCTTCAGATATGAGTTATGTCACACATATGGGGCAGCAGGAGGGGGGCTAATGCCTTGCTGGAGAGCTGTGGTGTGTGCTGGATTTAGATCCAGCCCTTCACTAACAAAACTGAGTCAGCTCATTAACACTGAACCTGCCTGCTTCATTAGAATTAGGTGTGTCACAACACAGGGACTTAAGGAGATTTTCATTTACTTCATCATCTTGTGGTTTTGCATATACACAGTACCAGTCAAAAGTTTAGGCACACATACTGATAGATTTTTTTTCTTATTTTTACTATTTCCCACATTTTAGAACAACAGTGAAGGCATAAAATACACAAGATAATGGGACTCCTAACAGCCGTGCAAGATTTGGCACACCAACAGAACTGTCACCAGCAGATAAACAGTACTTAAAGCTTTCATCTTTGAGAGAGAGGAGAAAATCAAGCTCCACTCTTACTTCAGATCTGAAAAAATCCACAGGAGTTTCTGTCCATCCCTCCACGGTGAGAAGTCAGCTCAACTGTGAGTGTGAAAGGACGTGTAGCTGTCAAGAAGCTGTTACTGAGAAAAGTAAATAGACATAAAAGAAGCACAAACAAAGACGCTGCTGACATTCTCAAATGAATGGACTGACCACCCCAGAGTCCAGACCTCAACATCACTGAATTTGTAGGGGATTGTCAGAAGTAGAAAATGCAGCCACTGCATATTTTAAATAACTAGGTAGACTTGCTTACAGTCTCAAGTATATACACACACATCATAAATATGTCGTATTTGCATGAATCAAAGATGAATGCTGTGCAGGTATCTTTCATTCAGCATTGATTTCATCTTGAGAGATTTGCTTGGTAGCTTCGGATTAAGGGACACAAACATATGGTCTACTCATTAAATGCTTACCTACTATATGATTCTAGTTCCTCCAAAGTCCATGCAACATATGGACTAAGCTGTAGGATGTAAATGAATGCAAAGTTATTATAAGGCCCTGCATTCAGAACCATAATGGAAGGCTGACTGAATGTAACCTTATTCCTTTGTTGTTCTGCAAAGCCTCAAGTATCAATGTGTGGCATGCCTCTCCACAGTGCCAGCAGAATGAAGCACTAGAGTAGATGAGCACTGTGAAAGCCTCGCCTTGTTTTTTTTATCACATCTGCAGAGCTCTGGTTGAAATATTGTCCTGGTAATAAACATTGATTAAATTACACACAGTAGGGAAATGTTTAGAAATACAGAGTAATGGTGCTCTTACTTGAATTTGTCTGATGAGGTTTGTAAAGAAACTTTGGTAGTCATTGCTTTGTTTTTTAACAGCAGATTACACTCAGTTTATTGGGTACACTTACCTTGTTCCTACACTAATTGGACATTTCATGAGAAACAATTTATTGGTGCATTTTATTGGTTTACAGTTACAGACTGTTGCTCATCTGTTGCTGCACAGTTGGTCAGCCCCCTCTACCTCATTCATAAATGGAAACCACCACTGCGATCGCCACTATTGACAAGATCTTATTTGTGTGCAGGATCATTCTAAGCGCAGCAGTGTATACACTGATCAGCCATAACACTAAAACCACTTCCCTTGTTTCTACACTCGTTGTCCATTTTATCATCTCTACTATACTGCATATAGATACATTTTGTAGTTCTACACTCATAGACTGTAGTACATCTGTTTCTCTGCATACTTTGTTGGCCCCCTTTCACCACATTCTTTAATGGTCAGGACCCCCACAGGACCACCACAGGCACTGCAGTGACACTAATGTGGTGGTGGTATGTTAGTGTGTGTTGTGCTGTTACGAGTGGATCAGACACAGTAGTGCTGTGTTTTTGGTCACCTCAGTGTCACTGCTGGACTGAGAATAGTCCACCAACCAAAAATACCCAGCCAACAGCGTCCTGTGACCACTGATGAAGGATTAGAGGATAACCAATACAAACAGATGAGCTACTGTCTCTGATTTTACATCTACAAGGAGCACCGACAAGAAAGGAGTGTCTAATAGAGTGGACAGTATGTGGACACAGTGTTTAAAAACTCCAGCACCACTACTGTCTGATCCCCTCGTACCAGCACAACATACACTAACACACCACCACCATGCCAGTGTCACAGTGTCAGGTAGTGAGGTATGGATATATATATATATATATATCTTTGAGATTCTGTCCTCTATTTCTATTTACCCTGTTAATGAAGAACGTGAAGAACGTTTTTTCACTGAATTTAAAGGCATTGCAAAAGCCTAAAGCTAATAAATTGCCAGCAGGCTGTTTTACCTCGGCCCACAGCAAACATCAAAATTTGGCCTCCAAGACAGAAAGTTTGGGCACCTCTGGGCTAGAGGATGACTAATACAGATTGTGCTTTGAAAAAGATTAGCTACAAGGTAGACATTGGTCAGCAAGGTCAGCATTTGTATGTGGTTTGTAAAGACATCTACAGTGATTAATATGTGTGACAAAGGAAGAAGTTTACTGACCAATTCCTCAATCAAATACTGTAGAGACAACACACAGGGAAAAGTCCACCAACTCATCACAAGTTTATGAAATCAGCTATGTAACGTAGAGTTCAATGCCCAAATGTGCAGAAACTCAGACCAGTCCATTTGTTAGCCATACAACAGCAGGAAAGTGCTAAAAAGAGCTGTAGAAGTTCTTGTATAAAAAATAAAGTGTTCTGACACGTGTAAAGGCACAACATCTGAGGTTATGATCAACATCACTGATCAACATCAGGTGATGAAGAACACTGAAGAACAATCAGTACAAAACATAGAGCCTACATAGGAAAACCATAAAGTTTACAGTAAAAGAAACATTCGGAAATCAATTTGACAATGAAGTTTGTCACGAAAGTCATCATTGAGTACAACAGGTCCAAAAATGTGTACATAATGCCCTAATCAGGTAATCAGCTAGAAGTCCACGAACAACTACAGGAGTAAAGTCTGCACTGAAAGTCTGTGTAGTACACACATGCAACTTTTTGGGATTATAAATTTATTATGCAATAAAAGTTTGATTTAACATCAATATAAACATGTAGAAAATGGTGAAAACCCTGGAAACCTAATATCTGAATTATGTACACAATCTCTGTCTGCCACACCATCTGGCTCAGTATCCTCCTATGGATTTCAATACAGTTTGAATATCATTTGCATATTAAAAAGCAAACAAGTGACCACTTCCAACAGAATGGGTTCAGGAGAATCCCCAATGTCAGCCACCTTTCATTTAAAGAAATAGCTTGACCAAACATGCTAACACGCTAACTATGAAAACAAGGAGCTACCAGTCAATGGCATTTCCAAAATACTAGCTACTTTAGTTAACTGGCATGATGTAATTCCCACAATGCTAGCTTCGGTGGCTAACTGTGATAGCTATTAGCCAGAAGTTAGTTCATGTAATTTCCATAATGCTAGCTAACTCTGAATACAAGATAGTAGCCACAATGCTAGCTTCTGTGGCTAGCTGTGAATACAAGCTATTAGCCAGGAGTTAGTTTCATGTCATTTCCATAATGCTAGTTAGCTCTGAATACAAGATAGTAGCCATCACTTACAATGATGCATTGTCTATAATGCTAGCTACTGTGGCTAATTGTGTCTTAAGCTACCAGCTAGCATGATGCCGTTTCTATAATGTTAAATTCTAACTATTAGATTTCATTCACTGCTAGCAACATTAATATTTTTGACTAAGCTACTCCTTTAATTGTGTCTCACTAAAACATTTGCCCCAAATCAACAGGCAGGTCACTAAGAATTAGATCTCCATGCCTGACCACTGCGAGAATGAACTTTTTTTTTCAGTTTAGCAGCTGTTGTTTATTACATATTACACCATAGCACTTTCAAACTGTCCTCTTTCCAGTCGGTCTTTGTGATCCCTCCAGGTGGAGGCTGGCATGCTGCTGTAAGGGTCCAGCAGGATCCGGAAGCAGCGCACCAACAGGAAGACCAGGATGAGCAGCAGAAGGCCGACAAAGCACAGGGCAGTGCTCTGCTCTGTGTCTGAGGCCAGAGGAAGCCCAGCTGTGGCTCCAGAGCCTGCAGCTGGACCCACGGACTGGAGCTCATAGTCCAGCAGCGGAGCTCTGCTCATCTTGCCCAGGAAAGAGGCCACAAGGTCTATCACTGGATGGTCAGCAGGTGCGGAAGTGACGGACATCAGTTTTCCAGTCTACTGTATCTGGAGGCAAGTCAGGAAGACCTCAATAGATGGAGCTCCAGAATAAAATCTGAAGGTTAAACAGATAAAATGATTGTTCAGTTGTTCGGTATTTAGAGCACATGCATATTTTAATAAAAATAATAATAATATAGCAACAAACAATTTATATACAGACGGTTATTCGAGACAGATGTACTGCATTACACAATTAAGCAATTAACATCCTTCTTTATTACTGGGGTACAAATGGGCAGGAGCTTCAGTCATAAACACTGCTTAACTGGCTAGAATTTCAATAGGAAAAGTGACTACAGTCCCATCTGCATTTAGATAAATTTGAAAGACATCAATAAACTGGGTGGTCAAAAGCTGGCATGCCGGCATAGTTTGGTTCCATTTGTCCCCTTGAAAGGGAAACAGTCACTGCAAATCAATACAACGTTTTTCAGACTGATTATTTTTATCCTGTGATGAAACATTTCTATCCTGATGGGAGTTCATCTCATTCAGGATCATAACCTATGAAAATCATGTTAATCATATGCTATAACCTTCTCCCTCACCAGATCTCAACCAAGTTGAACACCCATGGGAGATTTTGGATTGAAGTGTTAGACAACAGTCTCCACCACCATCATCAAAACACCAGTTGAGGAAATATCGTTTGGGAGAATGGTGTTCCATCTACCAGTACAGTTCTAGAGAACTAGAGAATCTATGGCAAGGGGCATTGAAGCTGTTCTTGAGGCTCATGGTGGTCCATTACTTTATGTTGCTTTTTCCTTTAATCTGTCACCAACCATTCATACATTAAAATGCAAAGTTAGAAGTGTTTCATACAAAGAGCAATTAAACAAGCATAAGAGAACAACAGAAAACAAACAAAAAATAAAAAATCACATCAAGGAGGGAAATGATAATAATAATAATAATAATAATATACTATAATGTACTATATTTCATATAATAAAAGACTGCCCAAACTGTTTTTCAGACAAAGAACAACTACAAAACAAACATAATATATAAGAAATAACTACAATAAATAAATGAAAAATGAAACAAAACAAATGTAAAAAATAGTGTATAATAATATACAATATAATGTACAGTATAATAAGATACAAAATAAATAAAAATAGAATTATGTATTAATATGATATAAATAATTATAATTATTATATTAATATAACTACTTATCATTAAAAAACTCAAAATATTGTATAGAACATTTGCTAGTTTCTTATTTGTAGTACTTCAGTCTACACTGTATGAATTATTGTTAAATAAAATCACAGCAATTATTAATATGGCATGTGATTTAGATGTCTGGTTCCACCACACTACTGCTGTGAATAACCGAAAAAACAAGCATAACAGAAATAAAATTTGAAAATTAAAAACAAAATAAATGTGACAAAATAGTGCATAATAAAAGAAAATATGATAAAAATTACAATATGATAAGAAGAAAATACTAAGAACAGAAACAATGATGAATCTTTATAGTTGTGGAACTATAGTTCAGCAAAAATAAATAGAAAGTAGAAACAAAAACGGTAAGCTGTTTTCTCTGTCATAGCAGGAAAACACTAAATTAAACAAACAAATAAACAAAGGCAGGAGGCCACTGCTTTAGCAGCAACTACCCCAGACACGCCGACTAAAACATGAAGAGGCCTTGCCCAAGCTGTATTGAACCATAATCACATTACAAAGTTGTGATGTGGTGAATTACGCTGTAATTTATATAACCAGCAGTGATAATAAGCGTATAGTGGAACGCTCACTGGTGGCTAATGGTAACAACACACTTGTACATCTTCAGGTGTCCTCTTCAGCCGAGCAGCATAATCCTCGCCTGGAGGGCTGACGAGTGTAAAGTGAATTCAAGCAGAAGGAGGGAAGCTTCTATTTCAGGCACAAACGTGAGGCGAAGCAAAGGCACCGATTGATTTTAATCTTAAGAAGCCCTCAATCAATAACCACCACATTAAAGAGACACACAACACTGCTAAATAATGAAGCTACCAAGGTAGACAGGAGGAGTGGGCTACATATATAACACAGATGAAGATACATGTACTGTACTTTAGATCGAGACTTTGACTTGCACCAGGGTTATATACACAGCGCTTAAAGGAGAAATGAGACTTCAAAATTTCAAAAAATATGAACATGAGTCATTCAGAATGATTTCATGTGAAATGGTTCACTGTAGAGAAACTTACAGACTCTGATTTCTTTACAGTAGTGCTGATAGAAATCAGGAGTCACAATGTCAACAACACAAATGTAGACATTTTATTTACTATCCAAACCACCAGAGAACATACACATGTCCGTATATGTAATGTTGATAATGGTAAAAAAAAGTTTACTTTGGGGACTGTTTGCCTTACAATAGTCTGCATGTACCTCTCCACCCTGAATGGATTTTAAAAAATACATTTTTGATCAGAAGCTTATCTCAAACCTATTGTAAAACAATTTCTCAGACATCAGGCGTTCAAGACTATGTCATATAATAACTTTCTGTGAGGTTCATTAGCACAAGTTGGGAATCACTGTATCTTTTCAATAAAATTAAATGTATTATTATTATTATTATTATTATTATTATTATTATTATTATTATTATTATTATATCCAGAATGCCTTGTATTTGTAATGTGATGACAAAATCTCAATTAGACAACATATCAAGAATAACTATAAATAAATAATTACAACATGCAATATTTAGCATTTAATAACTTTTCCTGAAAAACTTAAAATATAGATACCTTCTGGTGTCTAGCTTACAGTATTTCATTCTACATTATAAAAGTTATTATGAAATAAAATAATATAAATTATTACTATAACAAGTGATTCCAAAGTTTTAAAAGCTAATGTACCTTTTGAATTCATTAAACTCTTCGGATGTCTGTTTCCTATTGCCATCGTTGTAAACAATTTTGACTTTGTAAGTTTGTCGATAATATTGCATTTGATATTGCAATATTACAACTACTGTAGTCTTTGTCAGTGTTGCTGCCGTATGTTCTCCTGGGCCAGTTCTCTTCTATAGGATTCTTCAAGATCAAAACTAAACAATAACTAGTACCCCTAAAAAAACAGTTTATCCTGTATAATAACAGTAAGACTTCCATTCCCCAGTTTCATTTGTTACTATGTTATTATGTCAGTGAAAGCATTTGAATCAAGTCATTCTAAATGTAAAAGTGTTCTGAAATACAGGAGTGTCCTGCTATTTCAGAGCATTCTACTGGTAACTTTCTACTTTTTACAATATTTTTACAGGACTTCTTTTTACAGTTTATCTCTGTAGAGAGGAGCTGAGTAGCTCAGCAGATTTAACTCCAACTGGCCTCTCAGCCGCCTTCACATAGTCAGGTTAATAGGCGGAGATTGAGGATAAGCCAAAGGCTTTTTCTAACAGAGCCAAAGAGAGAAAAGGTCATACAGATCGGACTTTACAGCAATTATAAAACTGCACTTGCAATAATCAATTTTTGGGGAAAAAGCAGAATCTTAACATTTTTATAATGTAGGTTTATAATATCTACAGAGATACTGGACCTACACTGAATCTTTTCCATGAAATGCAGTGAAGTGTTTGAAGAGCCGACACTGTACTGAATGAATGGATAATGCTGAAAAATAATTTTATTTAAATGACTTGATTTAAATGATCTGTTTCTCTACGAATAAGTGCACTTATGACAAAGCAGACTATCCAGAAATTACAAGACTGAGAACAGAACCAACTGACCAACTAGGAGAAGAAGGAGAGAGATTCAGAAAAACACTCAGATCAAAATAAACAACTAACTCATCAATACCAACAAACAATCACAGATCAATCTGAAGCCTCACTGATCCACCAGTCCTCAGCTCTTCACCATCACTGTGCTGTGGGCTCCTGTTGTGCTTTCAGTCCAGGGAGGACTGGTCAAGACTAGCAACCTGATAAACTCAACTCAAACCTGTAAAACGGTCAGTAGCGTAATTATTATAATTCATTACAGAAAGTTCTTTGACTTTGCTCTGAGTGTAAAGCGCTGTAAATGCCTTCCTGCACGTGAAGCTTAGTTCTCTGCTGTGTTTAAACTCCTGCATGTTAAAGCCGCTCTACTCACCCCTCTCTCTCTCTTTGTTTCTCTCTCTCGCGCGCGCGCGCGGCTCTTTCTCCATCCCGCCGCTTCTCACTGATGATGCGCGTTCTGCCGCTTCAGCGCGAGCTTAACCATCGTGTCGCGCGCACGACGTCCTATTGGTCTGCAGAGCGCGCGGAGGGGGAGTCTGTCCGAGAGCAACAACTAAACCTGAGACGGGGATTTATATAAGCCATCTTCATCATCCTTCTCCTCATCATCATCACTATCATCATCATCATCATCATCGTTATGTTAACTTATTTTGAATATCATCCTCATCACTGTGACCTGTCACCATCATAATCATCACTTTAATCTAATTTCATCTCATCATCTTCATTATCATTATAATCATCACCCTCATCATCACTTTAAACTATTTTCATCCTCATCACCATTACGATAATCTATCATCACTCTAATCACTTTCACCAATCTTGATCATCCTCCTTATCACCACTTAAATCTGCCATCATCATTATATCCATCACCCTCATCATCACATAAACCTGTCACCCACATTATAATCATCATCCCATCATCACTTAAACCTGTCATCCACATTATAATCATCATCCCATCATCACGTAAACCTGTCATGCACATTATAATCATCATCCCATCATCACTTAAACCTGTCATCAACATTATAATCATCATCCCATCATCACTTAAACATGTCATCAACATTATAATCATCACCCCATCATCACTTAAACCTGTCATCAACATTATAATCATCACCCCATCATCACTTAAACCTGTCATCAACATTATAATCATCACCCCATCATCACTTAAACATGTCATCAACATTATAATCATCACCCCATCATCACTTAAACCTGTCCTTATAATCATCACCCCATCATCACTTAAACCTGTCATCAACATTATAATCATCACCCCATCATCACTTAAACCTGTCATCAACATTATAATCATCACCCCATCATCACTGAAACCTGTCATCATCATTATAATCGTCGTCCCATCATCACTTAAACCTGTCAGCATCATTATAATCATCATCCCATCATCACTTAAACCTGTCATCATCATCATTATAATCATCACCCTATCATCACTTAAACCTGTCATCAACATTATAATCATCCCATCATCACTTAAACCTGTCATCATCATCATTATAATCATCATCCCATCATCACTTAAACATGTCATCATCATCATTATAATCATCACCCCATCATCACTTAAACATGTCATCAAAATTATAATCATCATCCCATCATCACTTAAACCTGTCATCATCATCATTATAATCATCATCCCATCATCACTTAAACCTGTCAGCATCATTATAATCATCATCCCATCATCACTTAAACCTGTCATCATCATTATAATCATGATCTCATCACTTAAACCTGTCATCATCATCATTATAATCATCACCCCATCATCACTTAAACCTGTCATCAAAATTATAATCATCATCCCATCATCACTTAAACCTGTCATCATCATCATTATAATCATCATCCCATCATCACTTAAACCTGTCAGCATCATTATAATCATCATCCCATCATCACTTAAACATGTCATCATCATCATTATAATCATCACCCCATCATCACTTAAACCTGTCATCAACATTATAATCATCATCCCATCATCACTTAAACCTGTCATCATCATCATTATAATCATCATCCCATCATCACTTAAACATGTCATCATCATCATTATAATCATCACCCCATCATCACTTAAACCTGTCATCAACATTATAATCATCACCCCATCATCACTTAAACCTGTCATCAACATTATAATCATCATCCCATCATCACTTAAACCTGTCATCAACATTATAATCATCATCCCATCATCACTTAAACCTGTCATCATCATCATTATAATCATCATCCCATCATCACTTAAACCTGTCAGCATCATTATAATCATCATCCCATCATCACTTAAACCTGTCATCATCATTATAATCATGATCTCATCACTTAAACCTGTCATCATCAACATTATAATCATCACCCCATCATCACTTAAACCTGTCATCAACATTATAATCATCATCCCATCATCACTTAAACCTGTCATCATCATCATTATAATCATCACCCCATCATCACTTAAACCTGTCATCAACATTATAATCATCATCCCATCATCACTTAAACCTGTCATCATCATCATTATAATCATCATCCCATCATCACTTAAACATGTCATCATCATCATTATAATCATCACCCCATCATCACTTAAACCTGTCATCAAAATTATAATCATCATCCCATCATCACTTAAACCTGTCATCATCATCATTATAATCATCATCCCATCATCACTTAAACCTGTCAGCATCATTATAATCATCATCCCATCATCACTTAAACATGTCATCATCATCATTATAATCATCACCCCATCATCACTTAAACCTGTCATCAACATTATAATCATCATCCCATCATCACTTAAACCTGTCATCATCATCATTATAATCATCATCCCATCATCACTTAAACATGTCATCATCATCATTATAATCATCACCCCATCATCACTTAAACCTGTCATCAACATTATAATCATCACCCCATCATCACTTAAACCTGTCATCAACATTATAATCATCATCCCATCATCACTTAAACCTGTCATCAACATTATAATCATCATCCCATCATCACTTAAACCTGTCATCATCATCATTATAATCATCATCCCATCATCACTTAAACCTGTCAGCATCATTATAATCATCATCCCATCATCACTTAAACCTGTCATCATCATTATAATCATGATCTCATCACTTAAACCTGTCATCATCAACATTATAATCATCACCCCATCATCACTTAAACCTGTCATCAACATTATAATCATCATCCCATCATCACTTAAACCTGTCATCATCATCATTATAATCATCACCCCATCATCACTTAAACCTGTCATCAACATTATAATCATCATCCCATCATCACTTAAACCTGTCATCATCATCATTATAATCATCATCCCATCATCACTTAAACATGTCATCATCATCATTATAATCATCACCCCATCATCACTTAAACCTGTCATCAAAATTATAATCATCATCCCAGCATCACTTTAGCCTGTCAACATTATAATCATCCCATCATCACTTAAACATGTCATCATCATCATTATAATCATCACCCCATCATCACTTAAACCTGTCATTATAATCATCACCCCATCATCACTTAAACCTGTCATTACAATCATCACCCCATCATCACCTAAACTATCATCATCATAATCATCACTCCATCATCACTTAAACCTGTCATCATTATAATCATCACCCCATCATCACTTAAACCTGTCATCATTATAATTTATCATAACCACTATATCTGTCATCATCACCCTCACCACTATAACCTATCATAATCATGATTATCATTCTTCTCCTTGTGACTTTCTTCATCTTCTTTTTTCCTCAAAGCCTGTGGAAATAATAGGTCGATCTAAATGTCTCTAACTGCTTGACTAACGTTAGTATAATTGTAAATATAACTGTGAATGCTCATTATTTTAGCTAGAATTGTTCTCAGAAGACTAGAAAGGTCATCAGTGCTGTCAGCCTATATGACTCTATCAAGGAGAATATAGACGGGGGTCTTTAAGAAGGTCATATTGCACAGAACCGACCTGATTATATTGCTTATGCATTATTAAGTATTACTAAATTAGACACGAGACATGGATTAGATCAATGCAATAGTGTGTCACTGCATAAAAAATCATTTATCATTCCTAATACCACTGGACTTTAATAAAAGCTACAATCCTGGACACAGTCCTAGAAACAAGGCTGGATTTGCCAACAAGTTTTTTTTTCATTGTTTTTTCCCTATTTTTCCATTCACATGTCTCATATTAAGTGCCTGTCCACTAATCTCATCCCCGCTGCCCATCTGTTGCCCAATCAGACCCTCAGCAGGACAATAATTCATTTATCACAGATCCAGATATCCTGAGGAAACACAGCATATAATTTCATATAGACCTGGATTGTGGGGCATATGCTCATAATAATCATCTATTGGAGCAGATGGGTCAGTCCTGACATGGCTATGAGATTAGATTGTGGATCTACAGCAGGTCCAAGACCTGAACTCTGAATGATCCCCAAAAGCTCTAATAATTTTGTCTCTCCTTCAAAGTGGGACATATACAGATAATACTATTCTGCCTCAGCATTGAAAACCTAAACTAACCATCTAATAAAGAAGCACCTCGAAAGTCCACTCTGAAAACAGTTAGAGGTATAATTTCAGGGCCACATATTTGAAGTTACTAACTTTCATGCACATATTATAGGGGACACCAGAAATATGGCACAGCCTTCATTCTCTGTCGTACAATAGCCTACAATGCAAAAAAACACTTCATTTATTTCATTTCCAATCAAAACCGCCAATAATTACAAGTTACTCATTTTTAGCATCAGTAGACTTGCTTTGAGTTTTTTAAAGAAATCTGTGGGGATATTTATCCACACCTCTAAAGTTCAGTCTTAGAAGTTGGTTGCATTTTTTGCTTCTTACAATCCAAATAATCTCAAACACATTCAGTGATGATGTGGTCAGTCTATTGTTCTGAGAACACCAACAACTTCTTTGTTTGTTCTTCTTTTTCATCTATTTTCTTCAGTAACAGCTTCTTAACAGCTACACATCCTTTCAGACTCATAGCGCTGAGTGTCTTCTCACAGTGGAAGGATGGACAGAAACACCTGTGGATTTTTTCAGCTCTGAAGTAAAAGTGAAGCTTGATGTTCTCCTCTCTCTCAAAGATGAAAGCTTTAAGTACTGTTTATCTGATGGGGACAGTTTTGGTGGTCTACCAGGTCTTGTATGGTTGTTAAGAGTAACATTTTCTCTGTATCTTTTAATCACTTTTTGAACTCCAGTTCTGGAGACTCCTTCACTTGTTTTGTCCTGAAAAATGAATAACTTACTTTAAGACCATTTTAAAGGGAATTAAATAAATGATGGGTGGTCTCTGACTTTTTGCACAGTACTGTATATCCCCAGTTTACCATATATAAGGATAACCCAACTGTCTGTAAATTAAAGCTTAGGATCTCAACTAAAAAATGACACATTGAATGCTGTAACACATTTGCTAAAATTAGTCTGTTCCATATTAAAGTTGTATTGTGCTAACTTGCCCTAACATGGTTTTGCTGACACATCATGGAGATGGTTGGCACAACTTAGCAAAGTTGCTGTAATATAGTAAAGCATATTTTAATGAAGCATCAGAAATAATAGAAATAATTAATACCAATTTGACAAAAAGACAAACATTAAACAGCATACTTGCCCATTTTTAACCCAATGATATTTTTGAAAAAAAAAAAAACGTGCATCATTCATACTTCAATTCTGTCCCCTCCATTGTCCACACTAATTTTTGAAAGTGTGGTGTGTTGCAAACCTTCTGGCTACACAGTACACTGCCACTTTTTAATACTGTTCTTTAAAAAAAGCTGACATATTAACCTCGCAGTAGTTTATTACAGTGAAGACAAATTAATAAAGAACTGCTATGGTAACACTTGATTACTGCTAAGTTAAAAAAGTCCTCACTTAGACCCATGTCCATCACATATCTACAAACAAAGAATCATCATATTTTTTGTTAGTTTAAATTGATTTCAGTGTTACATAATAACATTACATTTTTGACTCAGCATACTTTCTTGACCCAAATGTTAGCGCTGTGCCAACCAGCCCCGCTCCACTGTACATGCACAATGTCCTAGTAAATAAGTGACTCTGTAAAAAGAATGTTCATATGAGCTTGTTAAATTTGACCAAAATATGTCAGGTTGTCATGTACCTTTGTCATCATCAGGTATTTTCATTTTCATACTGATGCAAGAGTTTGCAAAAATTCAGTCAACTGTCCAGAGAATTCTTCCTTCTCTGTGTTTAGACTC